TTGTTTTGTTTTTAGTGCATTTTGTTTTGTTTTTCGTGTATTTTGTTTGGAAGTCGGTTTTGTTTTTTTATTAAAAAGTTTATTTTATTAGAGACATTTAGGACCTGTCCCATCAAATTGTAAATTGTCTGATAACAATCCAACGTGTAAAATATATAATGGAAATATCGGATTTTGTTCCCTTGTCTGACAGTGACGTCATTTTTAAGCTATCTGAGTCTCTATCAGCTAGTGGTGAAACAAGCTTTCACCGACGTTCACCGACTGACATTTGCGTTCATTAAATTTCAAAATATCTTATATACGAGTAAAAGTGGTCGACGTATAATAGTAATATATGTTACGTACTTGAGCACGTCCGGCGGCATCTTGCAGTAGGAGAAGTCGAGGTGCGTGAGCGCGAGGCAGGCGGTGAAGAACTGGCGGAAGGAGGGCGGCGGGTCGCGCGGCCGCCGCGCCGTCGACCACGGGTTGCGCGCCACCTGCAGCCACGACAGCCGCGCCGCGCAGCCCCGCAGCAGCGCGCCCCACATCTGCACACACACACACACGCGGCTGCTGTCTCTGTCTCTGTCGCACAACCTCCAGCTTCCATAAAGCCTCCAAACGACGGTACAACACTATGTCCATTTGTCTATGTACCTTAAAAAATGTACTAGACTAGTAAAGCTGTGTGACAACACAAAGTAAAGACTAAAATATATCTCACCTCAGACTAAGTTATAAGTGAAACTGAGACATACTGTCCGGTTTGCATCATTCCAGTCCATCGACAGATATGTTGAGCGGTTTACACTTGGCCAGTACAGTTGGTTAGTAACGCTCTGATTGGATCTATTGGCAGAGTGTAAACGCTAAAAGGCGCCAATGAGTGTCGCTTGCCGGCGACACTGTCCAACTGTACTGGCCAAAAGTGAACCAAAATGACATAAAATAAAAAAAATAAAGAAAACTCACATTCTCAAGCGTCGTCTCTGTGTTAGTCAAATTTAAATGCGTCAACACGTTAGGTTGTGCTAAAAAATTATACAGATTCTGAAACAAACAAAACGAGATATTGATAACATTATTTTCTACAAATACTGGTCTATCTTAACAACGCGCGAACAATTTGACTAAACTATCGCAGAACTGTAGTCACGCTTTGATTCCTATGAACTTATATGTAGGTTACACTATTCGAATTTTAGTTGTGCAACTAAAACAGATAAATTGGCTGCGAAATAATCGACATCGAAAGAAAGAAATCGACAACCGACAATCTCACAACAGTTGTACGATAGTTGTGTCAAAGATGTGCGGGTGCGGAGGCGGTATACTTACGTGTACATCATCTTTTAGGTTATTATTAGAGAGATCGAGGTGCGACAACGTGGAGAGGTGGCTAGGAGAGTCGTTCAGTATGGCGGCGAGGTGCGACACCGTCTTGCCCGTGATGCCGCACTGCGACAGCGCGATGTGACGTAAGCCGTCCGGGTTGTTCGCTAAGCCGGTTAAAATGCTCATTGCACCTGGAAATTACAATTAAATCTACATTTAATATCTACTGAGGCATTAACCGAAGAATCGAAGAGTGTGGATGGATTGTGTGAAAGAGGATATGTTGAAGAAGGAAGTGAATTCAGATATAACTGCTGACAGAAATGTATGGAAAAGCAGCACATACTGTGCCGACCCTGCGACACCATAGGGACAACGGCAAGCTGGTTATGTCAAGGCATTCACCTTGAAATATCTTCTATCTAAATAATTGTTAAATTAAATCAGATTTGAAATGAAATGCAGTCAGTGCCGATTTTAGCTATTGCTAATTAATTTTATAGATCTTTAAGGCCACTTTTTAAAAAGGCCTTGGTTACATTAAACTGTGTAATTTGCAAACCATTGACATCACTTCCTATCTATTGTACATTTAATTCTGTTTCTAATATTGTGTATAAATTGAACTGACTGCTTCGCGTCATTAAAAACATGTACAAACACTCGGCCACAGCACTATCTTGGTCCAGTGACATTTTAATGTCCATACACTTGGTAGTTGAAATCAAGGTTATTGGGACATGCAAAAATCAACAAAATTACCTTTGTCCTCGATATGATTCTGCGAGAAGTCGATTGTATGCATGGCGGGCGGCGTGCGCGCGCGAGTGAGCGCGTGTCCGAGCCGCGCGGCGTGGTCGTGTCGCAGCGCGGCGGCGCGCCAGCTGAGCCGCTGCGGCGGCGGCGCGGCGCAGCGCACCACGCGCGACAACGCCTCCCACGCCTCGCCCCCCACCCGCACCCCGTCCCCGCACACGCCCTCGAACCACGTGTTGTGCTGCAGCGCTATCAGCAGCGGTATCAGGTCCCTACACGTAAACGTCATTTTAGCTTAATTAGGGTCTCTACTACTGACTGATAGAGACTCAGATAGCTTCAAAATGACTATACTGTCTTTTGCAGTTTCATTTGTTCCAGTATAATTACGGCCTATGTTAACAAATCGAACTTACGTAGTTATGAAATAAGAATTGCATTTTACGCTTTCTTTTCAGTTGTTGTAAAACGTAATGATGATAAATTGTAAGTTACGCATTATTAATTTCGGAGTCGAAACAAATTTTACAGCTATAATAAATTGCGTTAAGACAGCCGTGTTCTTAAAACTAGTAGAGCAACAAATTAATTATCTATACCAATATTATAAAGAGGAAAGATTTATATTTTCTTATGTATTTGACTCACGTTAAAAGTACTGGGCCAATTAAATGTTCTTTCACTATTATGAAAGAAATTTATATCAGTAATATGGCTACATTTTTTAATTTCACGCGGACGAAGTGGCGAGCAATAAATAATATGATAGTATACCCAAAATTGTGAAGGAAAACATTTTAACGGTTTTCCTTTTAACAATAAGATTTCGGATAGATTATAACACAAATTAAACCATGTACCTCTGATCCAAATGATCGAAGTCTTTTAAATGCAGCATTCTAATATCATGAGCCAAATATATCGTGTCGATGTCCCACGCCACCTCCGCTCTGAAATACAAACGAAAACATATTAAATAAAAATCATACAAAATAATCAAGAATAAGAACAAAATCAATAACCTCACCTGAAAGGAGTTTGACAAAGGTCGCACATAGCAGCATACTGATTTGAAAAATCTCCACATGTCGAATGTTTTCGTGTACCACTAACTGGTTGTATTTGAAAAGGTAAGTTGACCTGTGAAAGAGATTCATTATCTAATACATACAAGGTAAAATTCTTTCCGTAACAAACGGGAAAAATCAACAATTACTATAAACAAAAAGCTATTTATATGTGTTCGTAGCTCAAATATAATGAAAAATGCCACAAAGATTGGCTACATACTCTGAGATTATTATTATACTCATTAAACCATGTAGGGTAAAATGTAACCTTATAAAGTGTTGATATAATGAAAATAAAAGGATTAGTCACATGTATGAATGCAGTGAATAATAATGTAACAGCATTATAGTCTGACCGCGACATTTTATTGGTCATTGTATTGCCTCGGGCAATGCGACGTGTTATGCAACACTAATTGGAATACAAGATCGACCCTGCGACCCAATTCCTCGCAAGCGCATCCGTATCGCATTAGGTTATTGGCGCACAAAAATTTTGCAAGCAAACAACGCAATGATATAGCGATTATCAGACATAGGTCCTCCAATAACAATCTCTTACACGGAACTTGTATTCTTTAAGACATGTGTGAAAGATAGTATGAAAAACAAAAAAGAAAGACAACAAAGTGATGATCAAGTTTGCGATTACATATATTGGTTATGTACATACATGCGAAGTATATCAAATTTATAAAAAAGGTTATGCATTAGAACGTACAAGTTGCCAATCACACTTGTGACCCGATAACCCAACAGACCCCAGATAAGAAAAGCTTGGTCCATCCAAATAGACCAGAAATTGTTGCCTATCTTTATCAAACACTAGCTGTCACTCGCAAATTCGCTCGTGTGAAATTAAAAAAAAATAAAGGCTATGTTACTAACATAAAATATTTCTGTAACGGTGACAGAATTTTAAAATTGGCCCAGTAGTTTTTGAGTTAATTCAATACTAATAATAAAAATATAAATCTTTCTTCTTTATAATTATTAGTGCAGAAGTATAGATTTAATTAATAACATTCCCTCTTGTCAGTCGGGAAAAATGATGCTAAATTCTATGAGTAATACGAGTCCTTTATAAATACAGTATATCATATAATGTAAACAGGAGCTGGTACTTAATAAAATTAATGAAAATACATTGCGAACACTTATGAGGGAACCAATTAAGCAAATGAAAGCACCAACTCAGCGACCGGCTAAATTGGATCGTGCGCGGTGAATTAACTCCGTAAATAGATATAAAACAGTCGGTTAACGACATTATAAATATACAGACCTTGGATATAATGTCCTCCATAGCAACGTTGGGAAACAGATCATCAAACGCCGCAGCTAACGCGTGAATAGCATTAATAACTCCATCTGGTGACCCTTCCTCGCCTAAAACAAAGGTAAAAATTACTTTAGGACTAGATAAGATTATTATAATCCGAGCATAAATATGAACGACATTTTCAATTACGGTTTTTCTCAGTTCTCAGTTTATTAATCATTATATGTCGGATTTAAGACATAGTTCAAAATAGGTTAGACTTTAAATTAGGTGAACCCACTTTTGGTCCGGAGCTAACTCGCCTACTTAAGATCTAATACACCTTATTTAAAAGATAATAGTGATTGATATCTCCCTGTATGTAGGCTAAGATGAAATCCTCCTAATGATAATATCTCTACACGCGTCTACAGTATCCACTATATTACGATTTTATTAACTTGGAAGTATAGTATATTAGATGTTCTGGCTTCGCACGGGCTAATGCTGACAAGAAAATGTGTTTATTTACGACCTTAGTGTAGAAACCCTATAAAATTATCAGTATTCCTTTACCACATTATACATTTAAACCTTTATCTTGACTCATTCTATCAATTAAAGAAAATGCATCAAGATCCAATCTGAACATAGGGACAGACAGACAGAGGGAAGCGTCTTTGTTCTATATGTATTATGCATACCTTCAACCGTTGAAAACCTAAATATAACAATTGGGCTTATATACAAAATTTTTACGAATATGTATTTTTAACGTACCGATTCGTAACAATAGTCTGCGTCAGCTTTTCATTCTTTTGTATCGGATATGCAACATTCAGATTCACAAAGCTAGTAATATCGATTACTTTTTTTGGTTATCTTTGCCCTCGACACTTAGATATATAAAAATTCATTAACTCCTCTTAATTTACTGACAATTTATGGTTAGTAACATTATGCCATAACACACATAAAAAATGGAAAAACAAACCATACAGACGAATTAAGTGCTTCCTTCTTTTGGGAAGTCGGTCAAAATGTATATAAAATGCCTTCCACAGTTTCCATCAATATTATTTGTTTCGCCACAGAAAGAATTTATCATTAAAAAATTGTATGACTAAGTACAACTCCAATTGAAATACAACATAACGAATGTCTAAAGTCATAGTTTAGGCGCGCTAGTAATTACATACGTGTTTTGAGCTACAATTAGAGACTTTATTGACATCCTGCGGGCGTCCAATGGTCGTTGATAGAAAGAATCAAGTGGTTATTCATGGAGGACAAACGACAATAAAACTTAACCTTAAATAGAATGACTCACATAACATAATAACATTCAATTCAACAAATTTTTATCCGTCCAACGTACATAAATAATTCCAATGTTATCCTCGTCATTATAGTCCTATAGTTTTTTTATTTAAATTCAGGAATTTAAACCTGAATATACAATATTAATTCGAATTCAGATAAGTTCGTAAACTTCAGACGAATTCGAATACGAAAAGGCTGTTATAATCATAACATTGAAACAACCTAAATAGACCTAAAAGCGACAGGTTTCCCCACACACAAATTTGAAAGCCTACTTCGACGTTGCTTGGAAGGACATGCGGAATTTACTTAAATACTAATAAATTACGTTAGACTTAACATAGTTTGTATAATTAAACGAGCGAACAGATATTAAAAAGTATTTAGCAGAGAACGCTCATTAAAATATGAGAGATGAAAAGTTAACTTTTAACTAAGGGGTTGTATTGCAACGATGCAGACGTTGCCTCGCCATCACTTTCGAGTACCGGCGTAGACATTTCACTGCTTTTGATCTTGACGATAGCCACCTTTTTGCAAACCTACGTAATTATTACTTAAAGAAATACAAGCAAACAAAATTAAACCTTATCCCAAGTAGCGACAGTTTATATTGCATAACATCGTGGCATGATTAATATAGTGACTCCACTTAATCTAGGCTAGCTTCGCCAGCAAAGAGAAAATACATCTATATAAAAAGTTCTGCTTTGAAGTAGCCTATGTATATTTTAACTTTATAACTACCGTTATATTAACGGTTAACGTAGTTGCCCGTCAGTTAATTCTCCACCTATTTTTATTGACTTTTAACAAAATACTTTTTTTGCTACTATAAATTAGGTATAAACGATTTCTACCGATTTACTTGCTTTTTTATGTTTAGTTTACAACAAAGATCTATTTTGAAATACAAAGGTACAATATAATTTTTGGCCGTTGTCACAAAACTTGGCACGAGCGGAGCGACGATCTCGCGACGACTCAATTTACATAGACATTAAAATAATTTGTGCTTGCGAATTATAGATTAGCTTTCGCACGCAATACCGTCAGATTTTGCTATACGTCTATGCCCAATTTGATTGAGATCCTAGTTTAGACTACAAACTAACAAATATTGTTCTAACTAATCTTTCGGATTTATATTATGAGTAAGATAAATTACCATAATTACAATCTCAATAGTTCATAAAACCAAGAATAATGAAAACCTGCTTAATTTTTGTGTCATTGTCACTGCCAACACAAGCTATTGTAAGAATTGAACAAGTACTCACCAATGAGAATTGAGACGGGTTTGTGTTCATGAATTAACGTAATTGATAGATGATTAGCTTTTTTACTCTCCAACGCCTCTATTTCCATCAAGTGAAATCCATTGTCAACCTATTAAATAAAAATAATTATAATTAAAAAAAACTTAACAATGCAAAGTATTAACTATTAACAATATAAAGCAGTGCAAATAAAGTATTATTATTATTACGCACTAGCTGTTGTTCACGACTTCGCCTGTGTTAAATTAAAAAAAAAATCCTATATTACTCTGTGATAACATAGCTTTTTTATGGTGCAAAAATGTTCTAAAGTCATTACTCTTTATAATATTATTAAGGGTTTCAAAATTAAACATCAAAGTATGTTGGATAGTTTTTGTCAAGCAATATTTAACATCTGAGTAATCCCATAACTTAGTAATATATTAATAAAATACCCAGAAATAACTTTAAATTACCATTTGTATTAATTATAAATAGAATGTATACCTATGTAACAATATACATTTCCTATATTTATTTCCTACAGTATGTATATTATATAGGATATATATTTGCTGAACAGACTTGAAAGATTTACATGGCAAAGCTAACTACACAAAGAAATACAACAATGAAAATTATTTACCCTTGTTGGAACTTTTGTTGTTGTGATAAAAATCCTAAATGCAGTCACAACCTGAAAACATTATTAAAATATAACAAAATTTACAAGAATATGTAATCAATTACTTTTTACATTTATTTGATGAATGTAACAGTACAAGACATTTTACATTGAAATATTTTTTCAAAATGATTTGTTAAAAAACAAAATAATTAGTAACAAATGTGAATATTAATTTAGATTGAGGAAAATAAATTAAATAAGGGAACAACTGTATATATATATAGTGCTTGTGTTTTATAAGTATTTTTTGTTTTTATTATTCACTTTATTTATGTAATTAAAAGCAACATGTTGGTTATGTACTTAATGTTCAACAATTCATTATTTACCAAACAACTTATTACTACTATTGTATTATTGTGCTATTAATAGTATATTATCATGGTAGACATTCCCATAAAAATGTATTTTTTTAGAAGATGATTTGATAACATGAAAGTTTTTTGTAGTCTTCAACAGTGTAAGATTATTTACGCCTCTAACAGGTAGATGTATTTGTACTTTATAATTATCAGACACATAATTTCATTATATTTAAAATAGATGATAGGTATGTTTAATATGTTGTATATACGAAATATGCTAATGCAAAAAACCAAACATGTTCATAGATCCCATCTAGTTGAAACAACAACTGCCCACTATCAATTGTTATCACAAAAGCATTCTAATGGGTGTTTCTGTTACAACACACACAGGTTTATATTACACAGATTATGTGACACACCTATGTGACTCATATCACATTGTCCAGACTTTTGTTGCAATCTGCCGAGACTTGGAATGTAAATGTAATCTAATGGAAATACATTATTTACACACAATGATTGTAATCAATTCAAGTTCTTATACTTATTTTAAATTATGTTAAAACATAAATATGAAAAGATTCATTGAGTGAATATTTACAATTACATTAAATTCTATTAGTAATTTTTAATGATCTTTGTTTTAATTTCGTTTCTATGAGAATTAAAATTTAAAGCATAATTTACATCATAATACTTACAAGGACCCTGTTATCCACCTTGTCACCTCTTGATTCCATACGAATTAAGGATTTATAGAGTATTTTTACATTTTTCCCCAAAACATTACTTATGCTGTCTACAAAATAAAAAATATACATATTAGAATTTATGGATTCATGATGGAAATACTAATAAAAGGCAATTATTTTAGTCTTTTTTTACTGATGTTAAATACTTACCGCTTAATTCCGTAGTTATTTGTGATTTTGTTGACATTTTTGTAATTTTCTTTAATGTCATTACTTCAATAAAATTTAAGAAGTATCAATAAATACTGTATCCATATTCACCACACCATCACACGTTTAATTAAATTAAGAATACATTATCATATCACAGAAATGAATAGAAACTGACCAATTATTTAATAAATAAAAAAACATATCCATTATTGACTAAAATTCACCATAACACTTCAATTTCAATCACTTGATCCATCCACAGCACCACACCAAACAGTATATAGAGATATAGAGCTAAAGAGACAATAGCTCCAGTGGACCATAGACGTACTGACATTGATGTAAAAGATAGGCTACGGATATTAGTATTTTGTGCCTATTTGGCTTGCGCTGATGGTGACGGTCGTAAAAATTAAGAATTCGAACCAACTACAATCATAACATAATCGTAATAAGTCTAAACTTAGCAAAAGCTATATTTTTGAATCATCGATTTATCCAGCAATTTCTATAGAAAAAATGGCAATGTTCAGTGCCAAAATACATAGCAAAGGAAAAAGGCATGACTATGACAGCCAATTAAATTAATCACAGGATACAAGCGTATTTTATTTAATATTCATAAATTACTAACTGGATCTCTCTACATCCCGGGAACGGGAACATAACCAAACACAACATTAAGAAAGTTATTACTTCTTACCAATAAATCAAACTCAATAAAACAGTTGTGTTTGTGTTCCACGTCCAGTTTCCATTTATTTTATTCAGCACTTTTTGAAACATTCATACATTTCAGTATGTTACGAAGTACTCTGCGATTCGGAAAGTGGCAATGGTGGCAACTGGCAACATTGTTTAAAAATTTGATCTTATTTTGAAAGATTGAACTTCTATTCTGAGATTTTGTTTGTGTATAAAATACATATATCTAATATGGTTATCTACCTCTAATATTTCCTTGAAGATGAACAAAAACTATGAACGATGCACATATTGCAACCGACGGAAATGGCTTACATCTGGTTGTCTCCGAAAGTGGTTGAAACCAATGGAATGTAAACATTTTCAACGAAGCATCGACAGTAAGAGGGATTTTAATAATACAGATATAGTGAATTGCGTGGTTCTTCCAGATTGCAAAACAAGTTTGAATACAAATAAATTCGTAAAGTTTTGGAAAAACAAATTTTTTATGACGGGTAGCGTCAGGTCATTGCAAAGATACTTTAGCAATAAGAACAATGGTGGTGAATATATTTGTAGTTTTAACAAAACTTCTGACCCATCCACTTCAACTGACAAGCGAACAGTATTTAATCCAAGTTTTGATACCAAAAAAGATAGTAGCTCTGACAAAATTACAATAAAATGTCAACATTCAGAGGGTCATTCAGTTCTTAGAGGACACCATCAACATGCATCTATGGAGACTTGTGCAATATATTGTCAGCTATCTAAGTAAGTATTTATGTATTAAAAAAATGTATATGTAAATATAATTGCCAAAATTGTTAAGTGAATACATTATTGGACATCTTAGAACTTCTAAAATTTACTTAAAAGTTATTATTTGGTAACTGTATTGATTGTTGTTTTCAGGCATGGCTGGTATTGGGGTGGAATCACTTCCAGTGAAGCGGAGGAGCTGTTAGCTGGTCAGCATGATAATGTATTCCTTGTAAGAGATTCCTATGACTCAAGACATATATTATGTGTATCATTTCGATGTGTCGGACGAACTCTACATGCTCGCCTGCGACATGCCAATGGTCTATTTTCATTGAACAATGAAACATTTGTCCCAGCTAATAGAATATCAGAACATTGTGCTACAGTGGATGTTAAGTCCAATTTGTTTGAAATGCCTGTTAAATTGGCAAGACCTTTAAACAGGTGAATATCCATTCTGTATTAATGACTATTTTCTTCCTATACCTATCCACCACCACCCATGGCTTCACCGACCCTCAGGATGTACGGACTGTTCGCAGGAGGGCGCACACAATGAACATGGACATGACTATTTACTTATTTTAATGTGTCAATCAATGATCTTTATAATTGGAAGGAGGGAAAAGCTGTCATGTCATGCAAATCTATTTGTAGAGATGAGTGGCCTGAGAAAGAAATAACGAGGGGATTAAATAAAAAATACACCATAATCATCTTTTCTTGATTCATGATATAGAGAAAAGCAGTGTCTTTGTTTCACATGTTGATTCAATTATTTTTTTCAGATTTGCAAGGCTAGACTCCTTACAAATGATCTGCAGGTTTGTAATACGACAGACAGTTGATACAAATGTTTGGCATGAGTTACCATTACCACCAAATCTTATTACATATGTGTCTTCTGGAAGTGATTATATTGTTCAAACATAGTACTTGAAAATTGTGCCTTATACTGTCCTTTTGTACTGTAAGTCTATTTACCTAAATAAAGAACATATCTGTATTGTTTATAAAAGCTATACAAATATATTTTAATAATTAATGTAAAAACCATGTACTGTGATTCATGTTATATTGTTTCTAATTTTTAAATATCAAAATAAAATAATACATAAATGAAATTCAAAACTGTCATTTATTTAACAAAAATAAGAGAAAACTGTCATTGTTGTTTGCTGTTAGAATTGCTATTTATATATTACTTCAGTGTATTCAATCCCAGCATATTCTTCGCCTGAAAATGTAATTAACAAATGTGATAACAAAAATGTAATAATCAATTACTATGGTTTAAAATACATATCAGTTTAGGCACATAGGTTGACTTACTGTGACAAAAGCCGCAGTCAGTGTTTGTGGGGCAACAGAGACAGGGTTCATGTTCAGTGCAGTTTGAATCAATTCAGCATCACTAATCCTTGATTTGACAAAGTTTCTTGTTCCGGTGGACTCTTGACTGTTATCCGTCAGATAGAACAGTTCTGACGCTTTGTATATTCCCGCTAGTCCCACTCTTCTAATGTACCAGTTGAACTAAAAACAATAACAACTTGGGAAATTTTTTAAAACATTTTTTAAGTGACATGTAGAGTATTTAGGATATTGAAAAACTATATAGATACATTTTTAGTAAAGTCCATAAATCTTGCAGCATTGATAATTTTACATGATTCAGAGACTTACATCTACACTCCGGTCTCCTGAATGATAGCAAATATCATCAACAAGTGAAAGTAATGTTGCTAAAGAATTTGGAACATTATTAGGCAGAGCTTGTATTGCCATTGCCTTTGGCCAAGTAGCCCTAAAACAAATAATCAATGTTACAATTTCTGTTAAAAGTTCATTTCTATGAAACATGTATAAAAACTTACTTATATGGTTGGATCATTAAAAGTCTTGTCATTATTGCATTTTCAATCTGCTGTGCTGGTACTTTCAAATTCTTCAAATCTTCTTTAGGCCACTGGTCAGAAGAGATGAGTTAGAAAATCAAATAAGTCATATAAAAAATGTCATATTAGCAATCTACTTACAGATTTCATTTGTTCCACTAACTCTTCATTACATTTAACATTAAAAAAATGTATAAGATCTCCACCACCATTAGGAAATAGGCCATGTGTTATGCCAGGGTAGCCTGCAGCTTCTGCACCATGACTCAATGATTCCACAGACCATCCAAATTTAGGTACAAACTCTAGAGCCTTCGATAATATACTATCTTTAACATTTTGTTCATACTGTTGTTCATCTTGTTCAGGTGGGAATGTAGGTACTATATCTCCTTTTTGAATTTCACTTTTTTGACAATAGTTTCTAATAATACTTTGATGATTATTAATTGATACTGTCGTGAGAGGCAGCATTGCTCTGCTGCTTTTTCTCAAAGCTGTTAAAGAAAAAGTCTTATAAATCTTGTGATATCAAATTGATAGCTAAGTGATTAAGAAAAAAAACAATTTACATTTGATATATTTTATTATGAGTAATCATGTATTTTTTTAACATACATTTACACTTGTTTTAGAAATATTTATACACTCAGATAATCTGGCTACAAGACCCTCAATCAAATGAAAAGCATTAAGTGCTGAATTCAATATTTCCCTTTTGTTTTCTATGGGTATATTATCCAAAGTGTTCCCACCAACATTTATAGATATTTCAACTCCTTGTTGTTTGGAATTCTTATTTTCAATTTCACTTAATTTCTGTTCATAATGTGCCTTGGATAAATTTAAACCAGTCCTTAAATTTTCTAGGTAATCCATCTCAATATAGGACAAATTGTTCTTAATACCACTTTGATTTGAAGTATCCTTTAAAATGAGATATCTTAAAAAGTTTAAGGCAGTTATTATTTGGTCAGCTAATTCTACTAAGTCAGATTGTGCTCCATGAGGCAGATGGCAGATCTTCCTAACCATGTACATTAGCTGATCACCAGTGAAACATTCATCTAAAACAGGACTTTTGAATGCTTCATTAATTGAATTCTTGTATAATGTTATTGCATAACCAATCATTCCAGAATGGTTTGCAATTTCAAGTACATATTTTATAAGCAAACATCTACCTTTGTATTGAAATTTATTTACATGTATACTTATCAAATTCACAGCTGTTTTGCGAATAACTTCATAACTAGAATATATAGCAACGTTAACTAAACCCTTTAATAAGTCAAAATGCACAGGTATTGATAAAACATCTTGGGCAACAATACTAGGTAACCGATTTAAAAGTTCTTTACATAATGACATCGCTTTACTTAGAGGTCCATACTCTGTGTTACAAAGTAGGCTATTTACAGCAAGAAGAGTAGTATTAACAATATATTCAATACTGTAAACTTGTGGAATTGCAGTCTCTACAATGTTAAAATGACCAGAAAAAACAACATAAAACAACCCAGCAAGTGAAGTCATATTGATTTTATCTTTATTTTCATAAGCTGATAACTCTTCTGAATCTTCATTTCTTGATGCTTTCCTTCCTTTACTACATTCTTCAATGTACATTAAAAACTTAATGACATTTTTTTCCAATAAACATATATCATTTATTATAGTTGAACATGTCTGCCTCGCCTCACTTTGTGCATTTGAATCAGGATCCAAATCAATGTAAATGAGAGGTTTACCCAAGAGACTGACAAGAAAAGCACATATTATTTGCTTAACTTGTATGTTACCATCTTCATTATTCATCTCTGCAATAAAAGGTTTATAAAATGGTGGAACCATCGCATACACTTTCACAATTCTTCTGATGTTATTATCACAATCCATTAACAAGCGTTCTTTCTGTTCTAAATAGTATTCTGGGGTAGGAATTGTTTCAATGTAAGTTGAAATAGAATTGAGACACCATTCTAATGACCGTCCTCGCTTTACTTTCAATCTTTCTAGAAGTTGTTGCAATGGCATTAAAATAATACTAAATTGAGCATCATTCTTGGCCTCTTCCAACTGTTCAATAAATTCCAACAGTGCCTCTTCTGGTGTTGCTTTTTCAACTATAAGGCTTAGTAGTTGTTCACATGCTCCTTGCAATGAAGGCTTCAAGATGATTGTATCATCTTGCACCTTTTTTACTATTATTGATATCAGATCCCAACAGTTTTCTTTAAAACTCCGTGCAAATTTCTCATTATTTGGTACAGCCAAGGCTTCTTTATATTTTCCAGAATCCAGCAATGATGATATCTCATCAACTACATCATTATTTTCCATATTTAATAGTGGTCAGAGTCAATACTATCCAATGAACTCTGAAATTAATTTCCTCAATTGTAGATTGTTCATATTAAATCATTGCATATTAGTCATAAATTTTACTTCCATGTCCCACTGACAAAGCTCTATTTTAATCATATCAATATGCAAGCACTATAATTTTCTTTAAATTTGTTTTGAGGGCCTGTACCTGATTAAGAATTACATGAAAACATGCAAATTTTAAAATCAATAAAATATTTTTTACTTACATAAAATATAATGATTCATACAAGCTATAATATATGGTATAAGTTAATAAACAGAACATCATAAGTCTATTTTCTATACTATAAGCAAGCATCAACTGTAACTACAAATACATTGACGAGATAATCATAAGAACGCCACACATAATTACTATTGAAATCGATACTTTATTATTTTTTACTTTGGTATATTAAATAATATGATTTTAGTACCACGGAACATGGAAGTACAATAAATTACATTAAAAATAAAATAAGTTTTTTACTTACAACAAAAAATTCTTTGCAGTTTGTTCATGGCGTAATTATATGAGACGAGTATGTACACGGATAGAATGGCTGCTTTCTTCCTTAGATTTTATAAATAAATTCTTTGAAAGCATAAAAAAATAGAAAAATCGGAGCAAAAGTATGGTTCCGGTCGAATCTCAGAATTTCAGTGACGTTTGTGTGACATTGACAGTTTTTATTTTAAATTTACGACCACAGATATAATATCCCATTGATCTTTGTCTTAAATTCTCGAAACCAGGCCGTAAAATCTCCAAATATGTTCTATTGTGTACAGATGTTTTTAACACTAACAGTTAACAGTTGACAATGTCAACATGACAATGTTTATGACACTTAATCAAACAAGTTTTCATTTAAAACTTGTATTTAATGCGTTTCCGAGATTTATTTAATATCGTAAATGAAACAAAAACTATAAAATAATGGCGACGAAGCAGAAAAATATTTTTACCCGAAGTAAACCTCTAATTAATATTTACAGTGGTTTAGACGAGGAGGGGAAAAAGGTAAGTTCAGCTAGTTTTGATTTATTTTATGTTTTAATTGTACTAATACATTGTTAATTTAGGTTGAAGTTCGTGAAGATGCAGAACAAATAGTGAAATGGCACGAAATATGCGATGCGCTGGTCGCTGCCGGGTATTATCGAGCGCAACTGCAGGGACTTTCTGCATTCGATAAAATTGTGGGAGGTCTATCATGGTGTATTGAACTATGTGACATTGATGTTGATATTAGTCTTTTATTTGAAGAGAATCTGACAATCGGTAAAAAAATGTAAGTTATATGTTTACACTTTCATAATTAATTTAGTTGTATTAACAGTTTTTAATGTTGTTACTGGTATAAGTTTTATAGAACATTTCAATGTCATGTACATTTATAGCTATGATCTACAATCTACAGGCAATAGTTAACTTGGAAAAACCAATAACCCAACTGAGTTGTAAGGGAAAACATACATTTTCTTCCTATATATAAAATCTTTATGTTTATAAATATTTAATCACCAAGGCTTAAATTGCATTTGTTTTTTATTTTAGTGCTTTGACTGAAAAGATTGTTAAAATTCTGCCAACCATGAAGTGTCCTTATATAATAGAGCCTCATCAGATACAAGGTTTAGATTTTATAAACATTTATCCTCTGATACAATGGCTTATTAAATATTCAAGTGAATTTAGAGAAGTGAAGGAAGATGAGCTAAGGAAGTTTGCTGTAATGCAATATGACAAGGATCACATATTTGAATCTGACAGAGCTTACTATTTACAAAAGGAAAAACTTTTAAGGAACCTTTCTATAGTACAGGTGAATATATAAATTTATATCCTTTAAATTATATATTCATCATCATCATCACCAGCTCACTATACGTCCCCACCGAGGGGCTCGGAGCCTACCCTAAAGTTAGGGTGACTAGGCCATAGTCAACCATGCTGGCCAAGTGCGGGTTGGTTGACTTCACACATATCTTTGAATTTCTTCACCGATATGTGCAGGTTGCATCACGATGTTTTCCTTCACCGTAAGAACGTCGGGTAAATTATGTACATATGAAAATTCGAAAAAATCGAAAATCACATTGGTACATGGCGGCGGGATTCCAACCCAAGACTTGTAGATTACAAGTCAAGTGCTCAAGCCACTGAGCCACCGACGCTCAATTATATATTACCTTTGCTAATTTAACCTCAGTGTTCTCGCCGCTCGTTTGCCCCCTTTTATTGTAAAAAAAAAACAAAAACTGTACCAGAAGTATTTACATGTTTGATAACTAATTAACTTTTATGTCACTACTCTCAAATAGGTTTTTTTTTTAGTTTTATTATATGTTAATTTTCTTCAATCACTTTGCAGGACTTGTACAAACCATGTAGAGTTAGAAAGAGGAAAGGTGGGTTTCCTACAAATGAGCTGGAACAAGTGAATGCAGTTTTGTCAGAATATGATCAGAGAATGTTAATGCATGTAACTAACAATCAGGATGATTCCAAAAGAGATGAAGGCCTTGATTTCTTAGTAAGTACATCATTTTTATAATTTCAATTTTTACTAATGTGTAGGTCTGGGAAGAGATGGATGAATGTTCTTGTCCCTAAATGGGACAAGAACAGGCGATGATAGTACAAAGTCCTTGAAAACACTAGAAACATGTTAATTCTAAAAGTGAAGTTACATTTTGTAGCAACAACTTTATTGTACTCTTTTTGCAGTATGATTATGAGAAGACTTTGGCTGATCCATCAGAGGTTACAACTGAGGTATGGTATTAAAATAAATCTCTCTAACTCCATTGCCTTAACTGTAATTGTCTTTGCAAAACAGAAAGCAGTATTTTTCTATATATCAGTTTCGGTCATAAATATGTATCATTTATATTACTAATCTTGGGCAAAAGTAAAGTGAATAAACGCATCTAAGAGCCTTTTTTCGATTAACACACACATATATAAGTAATATATTAATTCTTTGAGCGCATGCACACATTTGACTAAATAGCACAACTGTAGTCTTACTTTGAATCTTTTTAAGCTTGAATTGTCTGTGAAACAATCGACAATGGCACAACAGTTGCGCGGTAGTTTAGTCAAAGGTGTGCGCCCGCTCTTATATTAAGTTTCATTTATCTAAAAAATGTATTACAGACTGATAGAAATTTGAAAATTGAAGAAAGTGATCATGTATCTGCAGATACAAAGATTCACTACGTAGTTTTACATTCCGAATTAACCGGAGACATTCCTAAAGAACTAGAAGAGAGTGAGAAAATTAAATATTCACAAGATATTACAACATTAACGGACAGTATCGACAAAATGGAGAAAGAAGTCGAAACTATAAAAAAGAAACATGAACAAAGAATGCAAGATGCGAAGCAACAATACACAAAAACATTATCGAAGTTAAAGAAAATTACACAAAATTTAATGAAATCTGACACTTATAGGTATGCAAGGGAAAAGTTTATAATATAAATATTATGTAAATACAACTTATATTTACCTCTAGCTAAAACATGCTTTTGATACTATTTTTCCAAACACTACAATAAGTAAAATGTTTTAACTTTTATTTCAGTGATAAAAATGTGAAAGAGTTCTATGGATCTCTGAAGGATCTTGCCAAGGAAAGGAATGAATTATTAAAAATAATACAACATAGAGATATGCAGCACAAACAATTAGAAGAAGAGTTAAGGTAAAATTTAGTATAATTAGAAACAGGCATATGTGTCAAAGATTATTAGAATTACAGAGGTGTCAAATAAACATCAATATTCTTTGCCTAGTTGATATAAATTATTAATGTTTTAAGTTAAAAAATTATTTTATTTCATAATCTTTTTTTAGGAAAGCGAAGGATCCTAAAGCAGAAGTTGAAGAACAGCCTTTAACGCCGGCTGAATTAAAAGAATTTCATGAAAGGGAAGGGAAATTAAAAAGTTTTATAGCCAGCACCCGATTAGAGCTCGGGAAGTTGAATAGACAAATGCTGAGGTACACGGTGGCTATTGATGAAATACCGGGCACGGCCGAGTTGTTACAGTACGAAAAAAGATTTGTGGAACTTTATAATCAAGGTAGGTGACATCATTTAATTATTTTTACATGATGTAAGATATAAGTATTTCCATTTTTTGTATAATTTTAATTCATACTTTCATCAGTCTCAATTCAAGACTATAAGTTAATTATGTCAATATTTGCTGGTTTTATATATTTTTTAGTAATTTGAAATTATTAATTAAATTTTCACATTTTGTTTATTACAGTTGCATCGAAGCATAAAGAAACTAAACAGTATTTTATATTTTACAACACCCTGTATGAGGTTAAACTTTATACATCAAAGGAATTGAGTTTACTCAATTCTATATTGGACAATTATGAAGAGTAAGTTTATTATGTTATCCTAAAATATTCACTGGTAAAATACTTCAAAAATGTCATCATTCATATAGAAAACCTAAGTTAGCAATATATAACCTACTATTATTTGCCTTCGAATCCATCTGCGAGAAAAAAAATAGTTTGTCTATACCAAATTCTATCAAGATCCATTCTGCCAAATACCTAAATAGTTTGGTACTTTCTAACATCCATCCATGTAAACTTTTTCATTTATAATGTTACTAATATTTACTATTCCTATAGGGCGATGTCATCTGCGAGAAAAAGGGAAGAATTTATGACGCAATTTGAATCGATAGTCGATTGGGTGAATCAAACTGTGAAGAAAGTTGAGGAGAAATTTAACAGTGAAAAGGCTCGGAAAACTATATTACATGATGAGTACACCAGACTTATAGATATACAAAGACAGTATGCTGCTGCATTAAAGAAACTGGCAGCGGAGAGACAAAAGATTTCCAGAGTCTAAATAACTATTATTGTCTCTGTTTAATTCAATGTGAATGAAAGTGATAGCAATATCGTAGTTATTCAGCTTTTAAAATAAGGGAAACTCGCTGATTTAACCACATCAAGATAAGTGTAAAACTATTTAATATAAATTTTATTATAAATGTCCATTTTGGTATTCCTGGTCGGTAATCAGTCTACCTCAGTGACATTTTATTCGGTCACATATTTAAGTACTTTTTCAAGTATTATAAGCATTTTTAAGCGATTTTTCCATACTAGTTATTAGTGACAGGTGTATTTAGAAGTGTGACGAACTAGAATCTAGAATTGTGGTAATTAAAAGCTAAGTATATGTTGTTTTGGCTTTTTACGTATAATTTATTTCAGATTTTGTAAAATTTTTGCTTAATAAAATTACCTTGAGTGTTACACATTTATTAAAAAAAAAATTATAGTCTTATGATGAATATAGAAATCCCTGACTGAGGTAGCGCCCTTCGCCACTTTTTAATCCGCAACGAAATTTTTTCCAATTTTCTCCGCAAGATGGTGAAGGTTTTATGTTTCCGGTCAAACTATATCTTTTTTTTTAAAGAATTAATAGGCGTCAATAAGTTGTTATATACCTACTCATATTTATAAGATTGTTGAAGTGTCAGTGTGTAAATAGTGATTTACTTTGTGTTTATTAAAAAGCAATGACCGTTTATTTTGCGTTTATTTATAGTTTAATCTAGTCTATATTTACCGTAGTTGAATAGTTTTATATAACTTATAAATGCAGTTGTATCCGATGGTAATAAAATTAAGACTGATAAAATCGATTATTAGTTTTTATTAACGCACTTTTTATTGTATTACAAAACAATTCCGATACAATTTATGATATGTTTCATTTGTTAACCCTGTTTTATATCACTAAAAATGCATTTATTTAAGTAAAATTTTCACATTCGAAATTTCTAATACCAAAATACATAACTTAATATAAAGCAATTAATAATATGAAGCCTTAAATCTTTTACAGTGAGATTTAATTTAAATTTTCAAGATGACATTTAATGCTAATTCAGCTATAAGTGTACTAAATAACCGGGCGTTTTCACTGCACTAAACCTGCTCTTTATATACGATATGTTTTTATATAAACGCTTTATTACTTGAAACTTAAAGTTTCAATTTCTATAAAATATTCGTAATAACATTAACAGATCATACTGTATTCAACTGCAGTGACACCTGTAATATCGCAGTCTCTTTTTTGTCATAAGTGAGAAAGAGATAGCAACATACAAGATTAGAGTGTCACAACACTGCTATGGGAGTGCTGCTTGTGCGAGGAGTGACCGTGGCCGTGGCCGTGTGAGTTGGGGCTCGACTTCTTATACATGGTGAACGATATGAGTTCCCGATTGGCATTCGTCATAGCCATAGCGTGGGAGACCACGTCGTACCCGAACAGACCATGGAGGCGGTTCACCACCATTAGCGTCAGCCCCTTCTGGGTCACACGGACTGTTCGCTCCAAGTCTGATGATGTCGCTATCGCCATACCGAAGGACGAGTTCAATTCCTGAAAGGTAAGAGAAATACATTTTTTTATACAAGGTAAACGAAAATCTACATCATAATAGGTTTTATGGCAGTTTAATACTATGTTAAATATAAAACGTAGTTGTTATGAGATTTGTTATTCGAATTTACAAATGAAATTGCATGTTCAATACAGCAAAAATAATATAATTGCAAAGTTTACTTATTCTTATTACGGTTGTTTTGTCATGTACAATCATTTCTTTTGTTGTATGTATGTAGAATGCAATGTAATCTCAGAATATCCATACAAAACTTATTGTAATATTTGTTTATAAATATAACAAAAATAATTACCCGAACTAAAGTCGCTCGTTCATCGCTTTTTAATCCGTATACAGTTGCACCTTCATCTTTCGATAGATGTTGAGCACTGAGGCTGCCCATTATCATGATGTACGGCATTTTACTATATTAGTACAGTACACCAATTAAATACACAAATCATCTGAGTATGACAGATATCATTTTAACAATGGCGGTGTTAATGCAAGGAAGTATCGGCACGCGGTCGACTCTGCTATGCTACAGGTACTCGTATGTGAGTGAACTTTGCCAGGTAGGCAGCCGGCGGGGTGAGGGATGCGGCGCGGGGGCGGGAGGTAGGCTGTGCGTGTGTGTGTAGTGACGTGCGCCCGCGCCGCTCGTCACACGGCCTTCACGGTTCTTGAACAGCCTGCGCCTGCGCCCACGTCACTACCTAGCCTAGCGTGTTGTACATTTTAATTGCACGTGTACTTATTGTTGATTTAATATCTAGACGTTAAGATGTTCATGTTCTTATCCTTATACACATTACATAGGACTGAAGCTTCTACCCTAAATTTCTGTTATGTTAGTCAATCGTTACGCTAAAAGCTCGTATTAGAAATGAACTTTGAGTTTCCATTACTAAAACATTAACGCACACTGATAAGGTCATATGTATTGTTATATGTATTTTTTAAGCATTTGTAAAATAATAAAAAAGGTATAAACTGTCGATGATGAATGACAGTGACTGTTTGGATATCAATGTGCCATACGATTTTATGTCATATTTGAAAATTGATAATACAATTTTTTATTAAAGAAGATTCACAGGATTTTTGTTGATTCAAGTGTTTCAAGAATTTATTGCCATGAGCCATTCTATGAGCAGTCCGAAGAACATACAACTAGGTATGTTCAAAACTATTGCTTGTAGATAAATGAAAGTAAATAAGGTAAAAGAAACAATCATATCATGTCTTTCGAATGTAACTATGCCTATGATTCAGGACTGTGTGCATATCTGTACGACAGACAGATGTTTGTTAAGACGACATTAAACGATTTATTATCCCCGCAACATGGAAAATACATCTTTAATGTTCAACTGTTTATATCTATGTAAGTACTAGCTGTCGCCCGCGACTCAGCCCGCGTGGTATTAAAAAAACAAAACCAAGTAGCCTATGTGTTCTTCCAAACTATCCTCTACATGTTTGCCAAATTTCATTGAGATCCGTTCAGCAGTTTAGGCTACAAATTCTAACAAACATCCATCTAAACTTTCACATTTATAATAAGATTATGATTAGTTAGATAACCGTTGCCACTTATTCATTACAGTGGTTTTCTATTGATTGAACACCGATACAAATCAACTTGTTATCTCTCATTCTGTTTGAAGAAATAGAGAACGCTACATGTTTTAATTTTTTTTTTGTTAGTGGGTACTCACGGTAAAAGACAAGGGCAGGGCAAATATAGTTGTAATTTTGTACACGCTTTCCTGGGCTGGCAAAGAAAATCTTGTTCGATAGTGCATTTTCCATCAAGACCCTGATGTTATAATGATTGCAATCTCAGTGATATAGTTTCTTTATAAATATCTACGACATAGTGTTTCAGATTTTAAAAAAATGTATCTGTGTGGTTAGGTAGTTCGCCTCCAAATTAATACCGGTCGGAAAGTAACATTGGTATTAAAGTTATGTACTATAAAAAACGTTTGACTTGTTTACTAGAACGAAAGGATATGACATTGATCGAAATACAATTCAGGCCAGTTATTGAGTCTAAATTAATAACCAAAATTTTACATCGTAAAATAATTCGTATTGTAACGTAGAATTATCCAAGGCGTATCACAACTACTTTACAAGAGGTTCAAAGTTACCTTCGTTCCACTAACTCATACAGTTTTGTTCAGTATTCGACACGTACCAGAAAGCTCGGCTTACATTTGCCCAGGCCATAGCAGACTTGGCCACGAGATCCACTAACGTAAAGTGTCTTGACAGTGCTGGAGTACTCGGTGAGCAAATATATGATTAGTTGTAGACATTATTTAGCATTGTACCGTTTTTTTTTTACCAATGTTACTTTGGTACTATATTAGATTTGCTGCGCCCGCTGGTGTCAGACGCGTGCAGCACGGTGCGGCAATGCGCGGTGGTGGCGGCCGCGCGGCTCGCTGAACACGACGAGGTTGTGGCCCGGCAGATGCTTGACGGGGGCATACTTACCACCACGTTGGAGAACCTACATAAATTTAATGTAAACAAATTGTGTTAATTATAATATTTATCACCTTAACACGACGTAAACAGGCCTAAGTACTAATAAAGTAAATCTAAAAGCTCTACGATGATCTTCCAATACAAGTAACTTGATTTTCAGGTATACTACAAACGTTCAGCTTTATACTTAATTAGAGCAATTGCAAAGTAAGTATTATTCAATTGTGTTTTCATGTTATAAAGTGTACTTTTAGCATGCCTATTAATTTTTTTTGCACAATTTTAGACATAACGAAGAATTAGCTTCTATGATAGTCCGACTTGGGACATTAGAACATATCGTAGCATGCATGGAAGACTTCGATACACAGGTAAAGTGTGTTAACTGCATAATATACTCTTATCCCTCAGCTTTTCCGTCCAAACAATGTAGCCATAGATAGATCACAAACTGCTTTTAACTCTGATTTTTCGCATGGTAAGTTTTACCCACTATTTCTAACTTCCTTACGTTGATTGAATACCAAGGAAGTACCATTGCGTTTGTGACAATCAATTAATTAAATTAACTAATGATGTAGGTTAAAGAGAATGCGGCGTGGGCATTGGGTTACATCGGGAAGCACAGCGAGATGCTCGCTGGTAAAGTGGTCGACGCCGGCACGCTACCGCTGCTCGTGCTGGCCTTCCAAGAACCCGAAATAAGTCTTAAACAGGTACATACTTTGAAGTACAAGTCAAAATACTGCCAGAATAGAATGCACGGGAAACGACGAGAAACAAAACGTTGAACGCTGTTATTGAGAAAATTCAACACTGGGTGTTATCTTACGGGTGTTGTTTTCTTTTTTATATTTAAAGACATAAAAACGGATTAGTATTTAAAAGCATGCGATGGTAAAAAAGATAAATTATGTCACTGTATCTTTTTCATGTGTGGGTTATTGTAATTCTGCTATGTAGATCACAGCAGGCGCTCTGGTGGACTTGGCGAAGCACAAGCCCGAAGCCGTGGTGGACGCGGGATCCATCTGTCACCTGGTACGCGGTCTTGATAACCAAGATCCAAAATTAAAGGTACATTTACAATATGTTACTTTTTACATTTATGCATACTTGGTTTAGTTTAATTAAATTGAATAATATTTTTTTTCCTTAGTGGTTACCGCGATAAGTGTAGTTTGTTTCAATGTGCATAAACCCACCATATAGGCTGTGGCTCTCGAATCAAAGTAGTGTACTTTTGTAGCATTGTTGGATGTAAGTCATGAAGACGCACAATATTATGAGAATTAGTAGCGTAGTATCTTACTAATAATATAAATGCGAAAGCTTAGATGGATGGATGTTTGTTACAATTTGTAGCCTAAACGGCTGAATAGATCTTAATAAATGACACAGGGAGAGTATAGTCGGGAAGAATACATAGGCTGGTTTACTTTTGTATTTTACTAATACCTTGCGGACGGAGTCGCGGGCGAGAAGTAGTATTGTATAAGCAAGCGGGGCGGGGTGCGCAGCGTAGCACGCTGTGCGCGCTGAGCGCGGTGGCGAGCGCGCGCGTGGAGCTGGCGGAGGCGGCGGTGGCGGGCGGCGCGCTGCCGCCGGCGCTGCTGCACGCCGCGCACCACGCCGCGCCCGTGCGCCGCGCCGCCGCCTGCCTGCTGCGCGACATCGTGCGACACTCCATCGATGTTAGACATCACCAAATACTATACTATCATCCTAATCGATAGTTTGAACGACACTTAGGTAGTCAAATTAGTGACCTTTGAACAATTTTACTTCTTACCTTTTAATCCTAGAATGATAAAGGGACAATTAACGGTTTACTTGATAAGAAACCACTCGGTTATAAAGACTTCTTTATATCCAGTAAATATGCTACATATATAATTTTTTTTAAAGAACAAATATCCTAAGAAATGTGCAATAAAGGGATTCCTCGAAACATATAACAAGAATGCATATAAGTCGAAACGGTGCTAGCAAAAGTCATAAGGAGAGAAGGGAATAAGCTTTAGTCCTGTTTAATAAAATAATTTTGTATGTGTTAGTTGGCCCAGTTGGTGGTGAACACAGGCGGCTGCGGGCCGCTGGTGGAGCTGCTGTCGGAGAGCGGCGGCGGCGCGCGCGTGCCCGCCTGCATGGCGCTCGGCTTCATCGCGGGGCAGTCTGACCAACTCGCTATGGCTGTTATCGAAGCTAAGGTAAACTACGCTACTTTACTAACAATGGAGACAAAAAGTTGAGTTTAAGAATACTGTGTTGAGGTTTCAAACATGTAATTTTAACTTCTCAGTTGGTTTGCACATCTTTCATAATAATAATCTTACTTCTTACTAATGTTATAAATGCGAAAGTTTAGATGGATAGATTTATAGCCTAAATGGCTGAATGGATTTCGATGAAATTTGGCATGAAGGTAGAGGATAGTCTGGAAGAACACATAGGCTACTTATTTTTTTCTTAATACCACGCGAATGGAGTCGCGAGCGAAAGCTAGTCTTTCATAAATATGCTTGCAGACGCAATATGAATTTATTTGTCCAGGCGATTCCAGCTTTAGTGGAAATTTTACAAAATAATGAGGCAGAGGAGGCTGAAGTGTGTGCGGCCGCGTGGACGCTGGGTCACATCGCTAAACACTCCCCGCAACATAGTCTAGCAGTTGCTGTGGCAAATGCATTCCCGAGATTATTGCAGGTGATAATCATTGGTTAATATTTTTAAATTATTTGTATGAATGTACCCTGTAGGCAAAAACTACTTAGATTTGTTAAACAGTCACTAAGTGGTTGCTTAAGTAATTATTTACAGACTGCAGTTAACATGTGATGTTATTTATTGTATCCAAAAGTTCCAAGCCTAAGCAAAGGTATTATATAAAATAGTTAATATTCATTGCATATTTTTATAGCTCTATACAAATCCAAAGTCGTCAGGGGAGGTGCGTGCACGAGCTTTGTGTTGCCTAAAACAGGCACTGCAGTGCTGCCTGCACAGACCTGCACTGGAGCCTTTACTGCACGCCGCACCTGCTTGTGTTCTCAAATATGTACTCGCACAGTATGCTAAGGTACTGTTCTATTTATATATTCTATTATTATTATAGTAATTTTGTTTGCTGCTGTAATAGTTGCAAAACAGGGGATTTTGAAAAAAGTCATATAAAGACTAGGTACATATATTTATCACAGGGTTTAAATAGTATTATTATTATTGCAGAAGACTGTGTAATATTAATAAACAGGTCCATCATCAAGGTTGTCATCTTCTTCATCATAATCTTCTCCATTGTCAAAGTAATTGTTAGCGTAATCTGTGCCTTCATCAATTTCATATTCCTGCTCCTCTTCATCCTCTAAATCTTCATCATCTTCATTCTCATTCTCCTTCTTCACAGTATCTTCGTCCTTATTTTCTGTCCCTTCATCGTTTTCATCCAGAGTTTCCTTCTTTTCGAGAGTTTGAAGTTTTTTACTCAATACATTCGCATCGTCCAGTTTACGCTTTCGAGCTATACTTCGAACTCTGTTTGCTTGAGGTCGTAGTTCCGCCGGCATGTTTGCGCAAACACAATCCAATACTTTACCCCGCTTAGCGTCCAGTGCCAATTGTTTATATTTATCCGAATAACGTTCTATGCCATCGGTTCGTGTGTTCGGTTTAACATAAGCCGGTGACTCGTGTAAATACTCTATAAATTGATCCTTAACAATGACCATATAATCAGTCGCAGCATCACAGTTCAGTGGCAAAGGTTTCGCTTCAAGTTTTGGAAATAACGGTGGCGGAGCGAGAGTTGTGGCAGTATTTTCACCTCGTGTAATGCCAAAAGATTGAAGTTGTTCATGTGTCAATGACAATCCACCTCCTCGTCCTCGGCCTCTGCTACCCATTATATTATAGTTTAATAAACAATTCAGTTGATAAGTATAAAACCGATGTTCAAAGTTGCAGTTTTAGGTTATTCTTCTGTTTTGGTTTTGTGTTCACTTTTTGAACTTTCAAATGATGACATTGACATCAGAATGTCAAACTCAAAAATAAACAAAGGCCACAGACAACAGAAGTTATTATTACATTTGTTAGTTACAAAATATTCTTTTTTTCTTTAATTTAAGGATAATTTTAAAGAAAATACCTTTAAATTGAGAAACTTGATTTATTCAAAACAATACTTATTAGAAAAGCCGAGAATAAAAATATTAGTTAACTGAGTAGAGTTGAATGGTTTATGAAAAGGAGGGTAATTTTGAATGAACATGTTTTTCAATCTCAAATCAATGCAATCTTGTTTTTATATATGAATTAAGTAACAAAAGTGACTGTTTTTTAGATATTACCAAATGATGCAAGAGCCCGAAGATTATTTGTGTCAACTGGGGCATTGAAACGAATACAGGAGATCGATACCGTTCCGGGCACATCTCTTAAGGAGTATATAAATATTATTAACAGTTGTTTCCCCGAAGAAATCGTTAGGTATACTTTGTTATATTTGGTGTTGTTTTATAAGTGAACATTTTATTTTTTCTTGTTAAATCGCATAATTTCTTTTTTAGGTATTATTCACCTGGTTATTCTGAAACATTGCTTGATAGAGTAGAAGCATATACGCCACAGGTAATCTTTACCTATGAATGGGTTAATTAAAACAGTAGTATGCATTTAAAACATTGCAGAATTTTAAGTAATTCAACAAATTTAACTGAAATTTACATGAAGTATATTTTTCAGATTCCCGAGTTATTTACTGATCGAGTGCCCAGTGATTGTCAAAGTGAATTAACATTAGAAAATTAACAAAAACGCGATTTTTTAAATAAATTTTTACAGTGTTTATTATTCGTTTACTTTTCTTTACCCATTGTCCAGATAGTTTTTTGAATTTTAACTGTCCCTCCTCCAATTACAGTTTCTTCAATTGCCATGGATTGACTTATTACTCTGTAACTAAAATATGCAACAAATATTTTTGATTAAACTGTTAAATGCCAAGATTTTCATCGTAATTAATTCCTTTAATGATCATTTTTGAATTGTTTTAATTTTACAATCAAGTTAGTTTCATATGCTAGGTTCATAAACAATATAATTTATACAGGGAAATGTAATATTGTTTCAAAATTTTTACTAATTATTTAAAACCTATTTTGTATCTAAAATGGTCTGTTTCTCTTACCAGAATGCAGGGCCTCCGAGTACGGTCAATATTTTAACACCCTCCACATCTACTTCAAACATTTCATCTTGTATTCTTTTGCACAAAACATTTAAGTTTTGAAAATAAGTTTCCAGTTGAATCAAATGAGTTAGTGGTAGGTTCTGTAATTTATTTTGATTTCTATTTTTAAAGTTAAAAGCTAACTAATTGAGTTTACTGAAAACGTTTGACTTACCATAATTTTAGATGTAACCTCACTAAGGGACTCAAATTCAACTACAAGAATATACTCCATGATTTCAGTAATGATTATTATGTTGAGACTGGACAGACTAGTTAATGATGCAGTATTTATGAAACACTTGCATGGAAGTGGTAACTGATAACATAAAAATAGATTTCACGATATGTCCACTTCCACTGACCTAATTATTTTTTTAACATAAAATAGAGAATAGGACACTGACATTACAAAAAAGTGAATGATTTTAATCCCGTGTAAAGTAAACCTTTAATAGAAATTAGAAAGTCTTAAGTGAAACAACAAATAAAGTTTTTAAAACATTTTATTAAAAAATTTAATTATTGTCGAAATGCCTGTTCTGGAGCACACGAAGTCGTAACTCGCCCTGAAAATGTAATAAAAATTTTAACAAATGATTTTGAAAAAAAGCTATGTAACGGATATGTCAAAATTATCAGTCAAAAATAGTCTCCAAAGAAATTGCAGATATATGCTTGTCAAATTATTCATCATGAAACATTTTAGTAGAGAAGAGGAATAAAAGATTAAACTAAATAAAAAAGGTGTTTCTTTACCTTTATTAACAGTTTCTATTATCTGCGCTCTTTCGTATCAGAGGCCCACTTCGGGCCGCTGCGCCAACGCAGTATGTGAATAGACTTTTCTTACGAATGGTGTTCTGTAAGTAAATATATTATTTAGTTGCTGCTAAGGTAACAATTGTGTGTTAATTACAACATTTTTTCTCAGTTGTTACCATACCATATGTTCCCCATGGTTTTGTGAGACAGGGATAACTTTGTTTATCATCATTAAAAATTAAAGAATAGTATCTTTACATTTTATAAAATCATAGTTGATTTGTTCCTTAAGGTAGTAAATAAAAAAATCCAGCTTACCTTAACATGAGGGTTGTTAAATGACATCAATAACTGAAACAGAAGAAAAAATGTTACAATATGTTATGGTTAGATTCAATTACATAAAATGTAATATTACATGTTCAGTTGTTACCATACCATATTTTCCCCAAGGTTTTGTGAGACAGGGATAACTATATTTATCATCATTTACTGCTTCAATCAGCAAGATTAAAATTGATAAAAAGTTTCAATGTTAAGTTTTGAAGATAGTTTAATTGGACCATTAATAAAAAATAAATTATAGTAATTGCTTTGTATGTGAAATCGTCAGTTTTACATCCTAAGTTATTAAAAGAATTAAAATGCTTACCTTTAATTACATAATTTTCATCTGCATCAATCTTATTATTGAGCCATTTTAATCTGTAAATGAAATATAACTTTAATATTTTAGAATTTAATACATAAATACATTGAAGGAATATCAACACTTTGTCAGTTATTAAAACTTTCATCAAAATTATATGATATATGCTTGTAAATGCCATCATTTAAAAAAAATCAGACTTATATTGAATAAAGAAAGAAAATTTCATAATATTGCAATTAGCATGGTAATGGTTACCTTCAGAAAATCATTTCTTCGTAATTATCTTCCATATTAGGTTTTTCTTCTGGAATAAAAATAAACTTTTAACAAAAATGCTTATTTAACAATAACATTTCATTATTGTATAACAATCAGTGCAGTATCAATCAACAGTTTTTTTTCAGACTGGGGCGATAAAATTGACATCATAGTATTTTTCAACATGTAAAAGATGTATTTTATTTTAAGATATATTATCTTTATACGTACCTAATGCTTTAAGATCAAAGTTCACATTTTTTCTATCCACAAAGAACATAAATGTTCTTAAACTACTGTCTTGTCATAGTAAAATCTGGAAAGATAAAGCTAATATAAGTGAAAAGAAGTAACAGAAACAAACTTTAATAGCATTGAAAACATCAGAAAATCGGATCAACAGTTAATTTCAGACTGGGGCGATAATTTAACATCATAAAAAAGTTTTGAAATAAGACATTGTTGAATTCTAATTTGTAAAAGACTTCATGTTCTTCATTTTTTATTTAAATAACATTCTTAGTATATATACACACCTGAATAGCTTCCATTTTGTTCATGAATTTTGAGAAAATCTGTACTTTGCATGTTTCCACATGAGTATTTCACCTAAAACAAAATAAAGTTAGTAAATATACATTTTCTAACATAAAATATAAACTCTTACTAAAGATAATCAGTAAAATATCAATCTACATATTAGTTCAGACTGGGGCGATAACTTAATCATCATATAAAATGTTTTCATGTATATGAGTTTCCAGAAGTATTTTTTGTACTTACTTATCAAGAGATACTTTCATGTTAGCCGCATATAATATTCAAATATATTTTTATATGTGACCTGTGAACAATGAAAATGGTTTTATTTCTGTGATTACATCTTACTTTCTAGTATTATAAATGCGAATGTTTAGATGGAAGGATAGATCTTGATTAAATTTGGCATAGATGTTAAGAATAGTCTGGCAAACATACTACTTAAATAATTTTGTTTTTAATTTCAACTAAAGTCGTCGGCATGTGCTATTGTACCAATAATTTTAATTGAAATGAATATTGTTTCACTCAACCCTTAGACATATGGCTATAACAACTAAATGTCTTACACAGAGTGGGATAATGTTCCTAACCAGAGTCACGCATGCTAGTTAAGTCATAGCACACATCGGCTTTGGTAGGGTAGCGTAAAATCAATTTAATAGTACCAATATGATATATTTTTAAATCAGTGACTAAAGCGATTAAGTTATTAGCTTTAAAGCAATTCTAAACTTTAACGTACTTACATCTTTATCAACTTCAGTAGTCATATTTATTCAAAAACAAGTTCAACACCTAAAAAAAGTTGCTTATTAATGTATATGGTTATGGTCCAATTATTGATAGTTATGAATATTATTGTCAGTTGTCTTTTGGTAATTTTAAAATCATAACTTAATGTTCATACGAACGAGACTATTTTTTTATTCATCATATGAAAAAAGTAAAAAATTGAATCTATTAATTGACATGTCTCAATCATGATTAAATTAAAGCTACTTACATTTGCACTCTTGATCCTTTAGTTTGAGAATGACCATATCTTATTACTAATATCTGTAAAAAATAAAATATACCTTAGACCAATAGTTATTATTCCAACAAAACAATATAATAAAAATGATTTATCAGTTAATTCGGTAATTTTAAAATCACGACAAAAGTTCATACGAACGAGACTATTTTTTTATCATCATGTAAGACCTTAATAATTATTTTATAAACCCTTTTAAATACAAGGAAAAATTAAAAATACTTACATTAAAGTACCTTTGGCCTCATCATAAGAAATACTTTTCATGGCTTGGTTTCAAGTCAAATAGAAACAGTGTTTCCTAAAACAAAAAGAATCTATTACTATTGAGAAATGGATCATTCAGTAATGAAGTGTTTTAACATTTAATGTAACATTCAACCCTTAGATAACTTGTCAAAACAAGGCATCTTACACAGAATGTGATAATGTTCCTAACCAGAGTCACACATGTTAGATTTATACATCACATGTATCGGCTTTGGTAGGGTACGAGTATGTAAAATGACTATCAATTGATTTCTAGTCTAGTATTCAAAAACATACCCTCAGCACTATTGAGTTGTGAACATAAGCAGAGAAATTATTAAAATTCAATGTGAATAGCTACAAAGATTGAAGAAAGTATGGACAAGAAATATATACTGTGCCGACCTTTTATAAGGACAAGGGCAGGTCGATGAAATATCTAGATAAGCTTGCATTAAATCCATATGTTGTAAAAAGAGATACTGTTAAAAAAACTATTTTTATAGTGTGTTATGATATGTAATGGTATTAAAATAGTATAGCAATCTTAATTCTTACCTGGTATAAAACTGCCTCATGCATACCTGGAACATAAAATAGATTGAGTAAAGAAACAACATATTAAATGAATAAATCAACTAAACTCACCTCATAAGCGTTTCAATAGGAAAAAAGTATTTATAAATGAAAATCAATTACACAGATAAGCTAAAAGTAATTCTTTATTCCGACAAGTCCTTTCAAAGTCATACACTTATTCATTCAGACACAAAACAAGAATTACTTCTTAGCTGGCTTCTTTGCCGATGTTTCTTTCTTTACGCGGGGTTTCTTGACCGATGCTTTGGGTACTTTCTTCTTGCCAAAGACGCCTTTACGCGCCGCCTGGGCCTTCAGACTCTTAAATACAGGAGTTCTAGCACGATTTCTCTTAACCCGCGCAGAGCTCAGCTTGAACCTGTCATAGTCTGTCATCTGAGCGCGTTTTTCTTTGTTCTCCAACTTTTTGGACCATTGGCTTTCGGCCCATTTTTCATTCAGTTTCTCTTGTGTCCATGCTTTCCGTACGACACGTGTAGGTGCGGTGAACGGAAACTTAAGGCGGAACTTTGTTAGGTGAAGCTGATTTAAACGAATTTGTTGCCTGGGGACGCCGCTGCCGGGTCCATCGACGAGTGCACGCGTTTGATCAATGACATCAACCACGCTGACTAATTTTCCTTTCAATGGGCCATCGGCCACCAGGGCCACTCGCCCCGGTTGGACGAATCTCGCGAAAGGCATGACGTCCTGAAATTTCACCAAACTATTTTAATCACTTGTCACAAAACACATCAATGCTTACGCCGAAACATACAACTCGTAAACAATACTGACTACTTATAAACATCATAAAAATAAACATATAAGATAAAACAACTGAAGATATGTACACTTAAATCTCAAAAGTTGGTAATTTTAAAGCCCGGATCGATTTGATTATTAAAGATGAAAATATCCTAACCTTACAACGTCTTCTCAAAATAAAAGCACTTGAGTAAAAGACTTGACGTTTAGGCTAAATCCTCGTTTCCGTCTTAATGTCATTTCATATTTCTGGTATGGATACTTGTGTTTTGGGTTATATTTGTCTATGGAACTAAAACAAGAAAAACCGGGTTTATTTAGTATAAATCTTTAAGGACTGTTAAGAAGTATGAAAAAGTTAGTATTTTTTCTTGAAAATATAATTCGATCAATTGTTGAAAATAAGCGGATACGCAAGGGATCTTTAAAAATATTTAATTTCTACGGTAAGTGGTGGTTGCTACGCGACGTAGTATTTAACAACAGTACACATATTTATTTTTTGTTTTCAAATACTGTAATTGAGTCCAAAATGCGTTTAAAATATTCTAAAACACTATTAGAATCGCAGGTTTAACAAATTACTTTGTCATTCTGTTAAAAAAAAAATAGACACAGAATTTAATTTTGAGGTCTTAAGTGCTTTTCTTAATTTTTTCCAGGGTTGTGACTCTCCAATTGCAGATTTAAGCTGGTCTCCAAATAACGTTAAGCTAGCCGTGGCAACAAATGAACGGCAGATTTTATTATTCGATCTCGATGGTACACGGAGAGATAAATTCAGCACCAAGCCAGCTGACCCCGCTGCTGGAAAAAAGTCTTATGTTATTACTAGTATGTTTACTTTGAATCACTTACAATAAAATTGTTTACAAACTGATATGTTAATAGACGTTTCATATGTAATAAGGTTTCTAAAAATAGACATCGAGGCTACCTTCACATAGTTGAGATTTTTGTCAGGTATATCATTTAGCGAAAATTCGGAGTTGCTTGGGGTGGCGCAGTCCGACAACATGGTATTCGTGTACCGCGTGGGTGCAGACTGGAGTGGCAAGAAGGTGATATGTAACAAGTTCCCTCTCTCCGGGGCGCCGTTGAAGCTGCTTCCTAGCGAGGCTGGTTTCTTCACTGGCACCAGCGATGGTAAAATAAGGTAATTTGAAATATTGCTGAATCAATAATTTTTTTTTGAAATATTTATGTAATGTTTTTTTTATGTTATCGATACGATGTTATTGTTTAAAAGGTCTCTCGACTGTAAAAGCAATAAGAGTTCAAGCATGTGGTCGGCTGGTTCGTGTTGCGTGGCGCTGGCGCGGTGCGAGGCTGCGCTGGCTTCCGGCCACGTCGACGGCACCATATACCTGAACGGCCGATTGCTGCTGCGCTACGCATTACCGCCTACTGCTCTCTTGCTTTTACTGCCTTATGTAATCCCACAGTAACTAACAATCTAACTAGTAACTAACAGTAGAGCCTAGAAGACGAAAATTACGGCTAAATAGATTTTTTTTAAGCTTTCAATGTCTGACTTAGTTGAACATTTTGGCTTATATGCTGGCTAACTTTTCAACCGTTTAAAATAAATTATAGCATATCGAAACATCAATTGAGGTACGAATCGTCATTACAGTTGATTGTGGGGTCGTGCGACGGTCGCATTTCAATGTATGAGGCGCAGCGAGGCGCTCTGTTGCGGAGCTTAGAGCCGCAGCTACCACCGGATCGACGAGACTTCATCGCTGTGGCGGCTAGCCCTTCTGGGCAGGTACTATTTTAAAAGTTACAATTAAAATTGCAGCTAGGATATTGCAGTATTCAGTCTTCATTTGAAATGTGCTTGGTACAGACGATGGCATTTGGCGTGTTCGACGGCTGCCTGGTGGGGGAGGTAAAGGAGACCGGTAACATTGAGCTGTCTCCGCTTCACATACCGCACCTGTACGCGACGCGCGCACTCGCCTGGAGCGGCGACGGCACTAGGCTAGCGCTCGCATCGCAGACCGGCGCTGTTATACAACTAGAAGCTGTACTTAGGTAACCTTTTAATGAGGGTAGTTTTATAGTTTTATTTTATTGATGTAATTTGTTAATTGTAGACCTGGGTAGACCAGAAAATGATGAAACTCCTGCCGGGTAGGTTTCAATACCTAAAGTAAGATACATATTTTAGTAAATATCCACTTTAGAATCTGACAAGAAAACGGGAAAGTGCCTTTGGGTGGGAATTTTACAGTTTATTATTTCCGTGTCGTGTAGGCGTTGGGTGTGGCGCGACAGTGTGGAGGTGCAGCACGTAAGCCCACGCCAGCTGCTGCTGCGCCGGCTGGCGGGGGACGCGCCGCCGCTTTCTGTCACCACCAATCATGCACACGATATATACAATGTGCGATTTATAGGTAAACACATGTTGCAATTACGATAAAAGCAAAGAGTCACAACGAATCCCTAATGTTTATTGGAAAAGTTCTTAGTAAAAACTTTGAATAGTTACTTAACTGTTTCTAAACTTAGTTAAGTGATAGATTCAAGTTTGCTAGTTGTCTAACCAAATTAGTACGTAACTAAGTATTCTTTGTATTTTAGGTAACGATTGGTATGCTGTATGTAGGACCAACACAACTTTGATACTTTGCGACATAGCGCGTGGACTGACAAGCGAGGTAACTCTAATCCCAGCGCAAAAAGACACAAACATATTGCTCAAATTTTTCTTGCTGAATTCGAAATAAATTAAAACATTATCAAAGTTCCTTTGTTTTTGTAGATCCCATGGAGTGGCAGCGGGGAGCGCATCTACGCGGCGGTGGGCGGCGCCTGCCTGCTGCACCGCGCGGGCGAGCTCAGCGTCGTTGAGTACGGCCTTGACAAAGTTCTGCACACCGTGAGTTCTAACTTGCTTTACTGACGCTGTTAAGCAATCTCAACGAATGCTAAGTCCAACATATCTATGTGAAAATTCTTAGTGGAATTAAATACTCAAGTTGGATATTGTTAGTTTCGTGTATTTGAAAAGTTTGACTTAAGGTGCGGACGGAGCGCGTGAACCCTCACGTGCTGAGCGTGCGCGTCAACGAAGGGCCGACGCAAGCCGCAGACCGCAAGCACCTCGCCTACCTCCTCGACAAGCAGACAGTTGCTGTACTGGATCTCGTTACAGGTCAAGAGTTTAAATATGTCTACTTCAACGACTTGTGTCTGTTAACCATCCTTCCTGAATTCATGGAATAGATAAGGGAATTCAAAAACTATAATATAGAGTTGGATATTCTCTTTATTTGGAAGGAAAATATAAACACTCATTTAATGTATTCTGGTGGTTAAATTCTAACATAACCGTAATTCACTTCTTGATTTGACATTTTGATGCCATTCGCTAGAGAATCGGAGATGCATAAGAACTTCAACGACGATATATGTATGTAGTGTAAGATGTGTGTTGTGCGTGTGTGTGCAGGCGTGCAGGTGGGGCAGTGGTGGCACGAGGCGCGCGTGGACTGGCTGGAGCTGAACGAGAGCGCGCGCCTGCTGCTGTACCGCGACACGCGCCGCAACCTCACGCTGCTGCGACTCGACACCGCTGACAAAGTTCCTATACTTTCAGTATTAAACGACACCTAAACCTTCTGTCTATCAGTCTAAAGGTTTGACCTACTGAAGCGGAAGACAAAAAGAATAAATGCGAGCCGTTGCTACTCATTTTCTATTTTACTAACAGCACAGTTTGGCTGATGTAAACGTTATTAGAAATAGACAGTTTGCCAGATTTTCTGACATATTATACTGGACGTGACATTTACGTATAAATCTCTTATGACATGTTTTATGTTTTAGTATTTTCATAAAGTGTTGCTTACTGCAGGAGACTATAGCGCGCGGAGTGAGCTTCGTACAATGGATCGAGAACAGCGACGCAGTTGTTGCGCAGACGCACACTCATTTGCTTATTTGGTATGTATTGCTTATTAATTTGACCAAATTTAATAACTCTTTTTGTTAGATGTTTATTTTTTTAACACTATGTACGTACTATACGCCTGGTTGGGTTGTCCCGCAGGTACAGCGCGTGGGAGCCGGGCAGTGTGGAGAGTGTGGAGTGCGAGGGCGGCGTCGCGGTGGAGGTGAGCGCGCGCCGCGTGGTGCTGGAGGGCGGCCAGCTGCCCTACGTACAGCTCGACGAACATAGACTTGCTTTCAGTTAGTATTTACGGATCTATGCACTTTTAAATTCGATACAACCAGGTGATATTTGTGGTAGTGGATAAAAATCATGAAGGTCTTTTCCAAAATAAGATAGCTTTGTTGCTAAATGAAGCAGAGGTTTTTGCAATTATCTAAGCTGAAGTAGTCGAGAAGTTTAATTTTTTGTTTACAACTTCATGTAATTATATAGACAGTGCGTTAGAGGGCGGTGATCTGACGACTTGCGCCAAGTATTTGGAAGGAGTGGGCGGCAGCGCGGACGTCACTGCCCTGTGGAAACAGCTTGCTGACACTGCGCTTGAAGCCAATGATATACAGGTATTCCTAAACATAGATACAAAATCTTATCCTAGACATTAACGTTTTCATACTCAGGACATAACTTTAATAATTTAAATACGATATTTGCAAGTACCGAGTGCTGCGTACTAAGGCCACAAGTAAAAAAAAACAAGTGTGAGTAACGTGATAACTTTCAGCTAGCTGCAACATGCTATCGCGAGGCGGGAGACGAGGCGCGATCGCTCTTCCTGGACAACGCTCTGCAGCTCGCAGCCGTTGAGGGTGATGGAGACGTGGCTGCTGGTAATAAATACCTCATTTTTTTTCTTTAATAAGTTACTTCCGTTGTACAAGTACAAGTTATTCCCGTGTACCGTGTATACCTCTCTCTCACCTTTCTTACGGCGAGGGAAAACATCGTGATGAAACATCTACGTGTCTTCAAACATAGTTCAAACTAATGGGTAGATAACTTAACCAATCGTTCAATCGCTCCCACCTTAGGCTAGAACCCCTCGATTAGGATTTATAGGTTCTAATATGTTGTTGAGTCATCAAAATAAGAAATATGCTTTGGCTGTAGGTCTGTGTAGTCCCGTGGTGCAGGCGGAGCTGTGCATCCTGGCGGGGCGCGTGTCGGAGGCGGCGGAGTGCTACGTGCGGCGCGCGGGCCGGCCGCGCCTGGCGCTCGACATGTACCGCCGCTACAATATTTGGCCGGAAGCTATCGCCTTGGCAGAGAAACACTTCCCCGCGGAGGCGCCGGAATTGAAGCGACAATATATGGATTATTTGATGTCAACTGGTTGGTTGATGTTATTTATTATCAGGTCCAAATGTTGGCGAAGTACATAGTATAAATTGATTTTTAGTTTAATATTAAGTTTAAATTATGAATGAAAAACGTTGCTCGAAGAATTTTACTCGATATTTTGCGGGAATCTTAACTAAAATTGTGTCGTTTATGGTTGACAAACTTAATGCAGCATATTGTGTTGGGGAGGATGGTTGGAAGGAGGATACAAGGTTGTGTATGAGGCGCAGGGCGCGCGGGCGAGGCGGGCGAGGTGCTGGCGGCGGGCGGGGAGGTGCGGGGCGCGGTGCGGCTGTGGCTGCGCGGGGGGCGCGTGCGGCGCGCGGCCGCCGCGCTGCTGGCGCACACCTCGCTGCTGCGCGACGACGAACTCCTGCATGCTGTGCACACGCACCTTGTTCAGGTGTTAAAATCATACTAATCATACTATAATCATATAAATAAATATTATAAATGCGAAAATTGCGATGGATGTTTGTTAGAGTTTGTAGCGTAAACGGCTAAACGGATTTCGATGAAATTTGGTACCGATGTAGTCTGGAAGAACATATAGGCTACTCACTTTTGTTTTTTTTATTCAATTCCACTCGGACGGAGTCGCGAGCAAAAGCTATTAATTAATAACATTACCTCGACAGATGATGAAATGATAATTTATTTATTGTTAAAATATAATATCGATTTTCTTCTTAAATATAGGAGGAATGGTGGGAATTAGCGGGAGAACTATCGGAGAAAAGAGGCGACACTAAAGCCGCGGTAGAATACTTCGCCAAAGGACACAATTATGCAAGAGCTGTTCAGCTAGCAAGAGAGGTGAATATGAATTTATGCTTTAAAAAGCTAGTTTTCAAGAATTTGTACTTTGACTAGAGTCGTCCAAATAGAAAAAACGGCATGGAAATGTGGCCGGCTTAAGGAAAGAGGAGGAGCTTTATTCGAGAAGGATTGCTTTACGAGTGCAGTGGTGTCCGGAGCAAGTGACGGCGCTGGAGCGCGCGTGGGGCGCGTGGCTGGCGGGCGCGCGGCAGGCGGGCGCGGCGGTGCCGCACCTCATAGAGGCGGGCGACACGCGCGCCGCGCTGCACGCCGCGCTCAAGGCGCATCTCTACAAGAAAGCGCTGCAGATTGTACAGGTGAACGAGATAACTATGTAATGAGATAAATCATCACGATCTTAATTGGCTGAAATTTAAATAATCTGCCATTTCCGTAGGTTATCGACGACAAGGAGTCGATACGTGAACAATGCGAGCAATTGGGGGACCACTTCATTTCTACTCAGGTGCTCCTACAGTTTTGTTCCTAAGCATATAATTATGATATCTGTTAATTACAAAATATGCTATCGCTATTAACATCTAATCAATTTTAACTAGGACTGGGAGACGGCAGAAAACGTACTAACATCTAGCAATATGGCGGAACGTTGCGTCAAAGCGTACAACACGGCGGGCCGTATTGCCGACGGACTGAGGGTCGCGGCATCGCATCTTACTGAAGAACAAACGAGAGATATTTATTTGCCTCTAGCTCAACAGTTGAGGGAGGAGGGACAATTGAGGAAAGCGGAGCAAATTTACATCGGTCTAGGAGAGCCGGACGAAGCTATATCTACGTACAAGGTATACACAAAGACAAATATTTTTTGCACTGTTCATGTCTAGCTACTATAATTTTTTTGGGAAATATAACATATACATTATTAAGGCTCGATTGTCAGGAGGCAAGTCAGTACGAGGCGATGCTACGTCTTGTGGCGGCGCATCGCAGCTCCCTGCTGGAGGCGACGCGTCGCCACGTGGCGCAGGCTCTGCACGCCGCGGGTGACTTGCGCGCCGCTGAAACATATTATATTCAAGCTGGTAAGTTTATTTATAGTAATACCAACATCATGATGAAGATGGGTGTTTGTGACGAGATCTTCGTCGTGCCTTGGTAAACAAATAAATGAAATTGTAAAAGAACAATAAAATTGGAAATAGCAAATGACCATGTTTTTATCATGTATGATAGGAGAATGGAAGAGCGCTATCCAGATGTACAAGTCGAGCGGGCAGTGGGAGAGCGCCGAGCGCGTGGCGCGCGCGCACGGGCCCGCCGCCGCGC